ACACACACACACACACACACACACACACACACACACACACACACACACGAGCGAAACAACGAACCAACTATCCGATCGAACGATCCAAAGAACGATGTATGGTTTTTGTGTACGCTCGAGCGTGTTGCGTCATAATTCTGGCGCACGTCAGAGCAGCGGCGCCATCGCGCAATTTCTGGGTACGGGGTGCATACCCTTTCTACCAACTTAGGACGAGGGCATTACAAGCTTCGCCTAATGTTTTGTATAAACTTCGATTTTTTTTCAATTTCAACCTCCACTACCTACCTACCGCCAGTCCTACGCCTTGAGGAGCCCTGCAAGCATCTCTCCCTCTCACAGTCAAGGGGCTGCATTCTGCTCCCCTCCATGGTCATCAGTGGACTTCGATCCCCTTCAACTTTCCCGGCTTCAATCCCCCTGCCCCACTTCTACTTTCTTTTTTTTTTTTGAAGGTGAACAGGTGGCTTTTCCTTATCGAAAGAAAATAAAGTGCACCTCGTACATTCGGGGGAGCGCAAAAAAAGCAGGCCGAGTCAAAGAACCCAAATTCAACGCCGACAAACACTCGAAGCTCCCCGCCGACAAACACTCGAAGCTCACCGCCGACAAACACACTCGAAGCTCACTCGCACATCCAACTCGCTCGACCTCCAACAAAAAAACCTAGAACATGGCCTACATGCTGCTGCTCGTCCCAGGCAACCTTAGCTGTCGAGAAGGAGATACCACACTATACACCCAAGAGATCCCCTCGCTCATCGTCGTCGCCTCAATGGAAGTAGTAAGGCTACAGCCTGAGAAGAATGACTCAACATTAAAAAAAAAGAGCCGAAAAGCCTTCTTCGATGCACATCGTTCTATGACCTAGGCTTCTCCTTCTTCTCCTTGAAGAGCGCCAACAAGGATACGCCAGAAACCTCGACAACTTTGAAACGGACTCCACGAATATCTCGGACGGCGTGTCCTTTCCTTCCAAATCCAGAGATCACGACTTCGTCATTCTCCTCGATGAAGTTCAAGCAACCATCATTAGGCACAAAACCAGCAATTTCCTTTCCGTCCTTGATGAGCTGCACACGGCAGCACGTTCAGATTCCACTGTTGGGCTGCTTCGCCTCAATTCCAATTTTCTCCAAGACAATTCCCTTGGCATGGGAAGAGCCTGGAAAGGGCTTCTTCCACTCGTTCCCCTGGGACGTGGTCCCACTAGCAAAGAGGATCCGATCGAATGCATGAATCTGGACGTGCTTGTGCAGAGGTGCAGGAAATCGAGATTGAACTGCTTTTCTGCATCTCTGCATAAAACACGTCAACATTCAGGCATTCGATCCGATCCTCTTTGCTAATGGGTCCAGGCCCCTGGTGACTTTTTCTTCGACTATTATTGCACTGGACTTTTTTTTCTTTTTATTTTTCACTTCTTTTCTGGGGCCTCGACCCACTAGGCAAGCGTAAATTGGTGTGTGGCACTTTAAACGCATTAAAAAAATAGCAAAAAAAAGTTTTCTTCGATTTTTTCTTTCGGTCTTTGGACATAAAAAAATTAAAAAGAAAGTAACCGCCAGTTGTGTCTGACATCCGTCATTATGACAGCGGATGCAAAACGAGGGAGCGCATGTGGCCCCGCTGGCCGCCGGCACGCATGAATCGGGGAGGTCATTGTGGGCATGTGCGCCCGATGGCCTCGGTATGTTTATGCACCGGCGCCAGCCGAGTGGAAACGTCCCAGTCCGATTTCGTCCTCCCTTTCCATTTCCAGTAAGTGCAGCGTCCACAGCTTAGGCGGCGCTGGCGACTGGCCGCAACACCTTAGCGGTTGAAGAGCCGACCGGGTACACTTCTTTCGGGGTCTTGGGTGGAATGCCCGGCCGTGTGGTTTTTGGCGAGCGGGTTAGTCATTGAGCGTTGGCATTGAGGGTTAGCTGGGGGTGCACATAGAGGGGGGGGGTGTGCTGTGGAAGATCGAGGGTTGCCTGTGGGATATCGAGGGTCTGGCGGAAGATCGAGGGTCTGGTGGCGGTGCACAACGTGATTCGCCTCATTGTCAGCAATGCCCCAGTCAGCAATGCCTCGACTCAGGAGGAGACAGCGAGAAGAGGTCGCTGTTGCAGTCATGGCCATTGCCGGGAGGATGGCCGAGGATGCGTTCCAGTCCCTGGATTCCCTGCTGGGGGCCCGGAGCTTGACACCCCTGTTGGGCCCTCACTTGGAAAGCATGGGCTCGGCCGGTGGAGAAGACGATGACCAAACATGGGGACGGCATGGTCTGGTATGGTTGTTCCCAGCCATCATTCACATCTGCAACCTGTCTCCGCGGGCTTCGCCTAGGTGGTGGGTGATGAGGCAGACGACTGGGTTGTGGAGGGATCTCATCCCCACGGACGACGCCGAGAACGACCATTACATAGGACTCCTGCGCATGCGACGTTCGACATTCAACAGACTGCTTCGTAAGGTCGGTCCGCTTTTGGAAAAGCAGGTCACTAAGTTCCGGTTGCCGTTTCCGCCTGCTAAGAAGCTTGCTTATGCTCTCCATAGATGGGCCCATGGGGGCTCGCACTGGCACAGTTCATCCGCGTATGGGATGGGGAAAACCAGTGGCATACGTGCAGTGAAAGAGGTGGCGGATGCCATTCACGCCACGTATCCACATGCAGTAGGTTTCGGTGGACTAGAGGATCGTCACCGTCGAATGCAGCAGTTTGAGGCATTGGGTTTTCCTAATTGCTGGGGGTGCATCGACTGCACACATGTGTATGTCGACAAGCCACGAACGAAGGACGGCGGCGACTATTGCTCCGGTCGTAACAACCGGTTCTCAGTTGTTGCGCAACTCGTGGTCGATTCCGAGCTGCATGTCCTTGATTTTTGCTACGGCTTTCCAATGACTGTCGGCGATGCACGTGTTCTGAAGAACAGGTCGCTGTACAGGCAAGCCCTGAAAGGGTCGTTGTTCATCGACGACCCTGAAGACCCCTTCCATGCTCAGAGGCCTTCCATCAGCGGAGTTCCTGGAGGGTACTTGCTTGGTGATGGCAGGTACCCCAATCTGCCTTGGCTTGTGATCCCATTTGGCCAACAACCCTGGCTGACGAGGGCCATGCAGCGCTTCGACGCTCTTCACAAGATTGTCAGGTCTTGTGTTGAGCGATTCTTTGGGGTATTCAAAATGCGTTTCCAGTACTTCTATCGGCCACATATATGTGACATTGCAACGGAGAGGTTGGAGTTCCGTGCATGTTGCATAATTCATAACCTCCTTCAGGATTGGGGTGATTTGCCGGAGGCGGACGACAAAGACAGCGATTCATCGTGTCCTGAAGGTCCAGCACCCGATGTTGACAGGCGTGTGGATGGTGCCCCTCTAGAGTACATGTTTGGAAGGGAGCGTGGGCAGGCCGTAAGGGACGCACTTTGTACAGAGGTCTTGCGTTTGTGGGAACTGCGTCGTTCGCAGGCCTTGTAAGTCCGGCCCTTACAATGTAGACCCCGTACGAGTGTAGTGGTCGGAACTTAGATGCACTTGCGTGCGTGCTACGAACACAAAACACAACACTGACACAAATCTTGCCGGCGTCTTTCCCAGGCACTGCGCGTACAAGACGGCGGAAGGAATCATTTTCGGACGTTTTCCTCATTTTTGCGACGACAACATCCGTAGGCGCGAAGCTTCAAAATCACCCCATGGGTAAAAAAACACTGATTTTGAAGCTTCGCACCAACGAAATGTGCCCAACAAAATAGCGCACAAAACAATTCCAAAACATCCTATTGGCCGGATCCCACTCCCACGGCCTTCCCGACTCCAAAACTCGTTGCGCTGACGATGTGGACGCCGATCGGCGGCTGCCGCGAGTCACCCCAGGCTGCACGTGGTCGAAAGCCCAGCCGCGAAGCGTAACTCTTCGCTAGTGGGTCGAGGCCCCTGAGGTTCACGGTCACAACTTTTCTTCTTCGCTCTTTTTTTTGTTTAATCTTTCCGTGAGAGTACCAGAAAGAAAACGGAGTGGTAAACAGGCTCGGGAAACTCGGAACGCAGTGAAATTCAGGTTCGGCAAAAACAGGCTCGGAGGTACTAGTGGTTTAAGGAAATCTGTCTGGTGCCCCTTTAATTTCCATTATTTTGCGTAGCGCCGCTCCCACCCTTTAATTTCCATTATTTTGCGGCGCGTTGCCACCCTTTAATTTCCATTATTTTGCGTCGCGGCGCTCCCACGGCCAATTTACCCTATCGCGCCCTTCTGACCACGATTAAATTTCCCATAAAACCACGGTGTCCTTTGGGCCAGATATATTTTTGTTATGCCCCTACGGGTACCCGTTCCAAATTAGCAGCATTCCCCTACAGGATTGCTGTTGTATACCCATATGGCCCTACTGGTAAGGTGCATCTTTTCAGCACACCTCTACGGCTACGTGCATGGCACCCACTTCATCTCTCTCTCTCTCTCTCTCTCTCTCTCTCTCTCTCTCTCTCTCTCTCTCTCTCTCTCTCTCTCT